GTTTGCACACTTTAGTACACGTTTGGTGTCATGTAACAGGTTAATTTCCAGTGCGGAAACATTCGAATTTTTCTATCAGTAAATTGTAATTATTTTTTTCCTATCAGTAAATTGTAATTATTTTTTTCCTATCAGTAAATTGTAATTATTTTTTTCCTATCAGTAAATTGTAATTATTTTTTCCAATTATATGTAATTTAGTAAACATCACAATAAATGTTAGAAAGAATTATGTACTTACCAATGACGTGAAATGTGATAAAGCCCAACTCACTGAAATCATTCCTACAATTAGTATGCAAGATAAGACTGAATAACAGATTCTAAGCATCAGCTCCATTTTGACAAATAAAGTCGCATACATCGCGAAACACGTAGCATACAGAAAATGTGTGTATATAAAAGGTATGAGAATACTCCAATTCTCATTAATCATTTCAACGAATTCCCAAAGTTCTTGATGTTTATTCATCAATGCATTAACCTTATTCGATGAGACATTTAATTCAAAGGAGTTCATATTTCGTACAATCATTTCAATCAGTTGAATAGACAGATTCATTAGTCTTTTTGCCAAAATATAAAATAATATTGTGCATATTACGACGTAAGATATAATTTGTCCCGCAGCATACAAAAACCACAAAGAGTGAATGAAAGCACATAGTAATGCTTCTGTATCCGTGCCATTCTGTTCTTTTATTATCGCAAAGAAAACAACACCGGTCATTACAACGAGATTAATCGATAAAAAGAATAAAACAGAAAAAAAAATAGATTAAATAGATTTGTATCTGTTCAATTATTTTCCATTCTTCTTCGTAACTACTAATTAAGCAATGAAGTGAAATCTTGCTTCTTCTCAGAATGCTAAACTGACCAGCAAAATAAATGGATACGATAGCGCTGGCAACTGCTGCCGGGAAAGCGTAATCGTTGTACTGTACATATGAATTACCCGTAAAACATACAAATTCATGTCAAATAATCTGATAATGAAAAGTAATGTCACTATCCATAAAAATAACTCGATAATATCTGCATAGATATTGAATACTGTTGAAAAAAGTCTGTGTTTTTTCGATTTTTTCGTATTTGATATGCATTTGCATTGAGTACAAAAATCTAATCCGTACACTTTAGCAGAATATAAAATCCTATGCATAACTGTGTTAGAATATATCCTATGCATAACTTTCTGTACGACATTATTCTCTGTGTAGGTGTGTTTTTTCATACACTAACGATATTTACTTACTCGAATCAGTATGCAAATTAGTGAGAAATAATGAACTTGTAATGATTTTGTCCCTGATGGTAAATCGTGTTTAATACAATTGGACAAGAAAGTCACTTACGTAGGCATTTTGAAATAACAACGTAAAAATCATAGGTTTACTGCAGCTGAGTATGTAGAGTTACACTGTACTGTTTAAGATAATTTTGCACCCGTAGATTTTGCAGGAAAAATTATCTTTTATAATACCATGTAAATGTATATGCTCAACTGCATTGTTTCAAGTAATTACACGCAATTGAGTTTACTTTTCTAATTGGAAATGCTTGAAATTGTTGCAATATTCATTATAAAATGTTAGATTTTCTAATTTAACTCAGGATATTTAATTTTATATAATGCAGAATGTCATTATAGATGTATGGTTATTGATTGATTAAATCGATAAGTTATTTATATTCCCCGATTAATTAACAAACTTAAAAGGGCATTATGTAAAATGCAATCTCTTTTATTAATTTAGAACAATAATTAAAAAATGTAGTACATCTCTACAGTATTAAAAATATTTGAAACGATGTTTCTTGTCTGTTGTTTCACTCCATCAATTGCATGTAATCGAAGAAAATACTAAAATTTTGCTTGCATTAATGTTCAAATACTTATATAAACATTAAATTAATTAATTTAATAATTGACCATTTTGAAACTTTATTTAATTACGAAATTATAATTACTTGATTATATGCATAAAGACTCGCTTTAACGTTATTCTGAATTTCACACCATTAATTATTAGCGTAAATGAAAATATGTTATTTTAGATGTTACATAAATTTTTATCACGAATTTAGTTTCTACGTGTTAATTCGAAATTAATAGTTATGTCGAAATACACACATTTTTGTTTATTTAGTCTTATGTTGATAACATTAATTTATTTACAAATTTGGTTGGAGTTGACGGAATAAGCCAGTGTGACACGAAGGTGAAAAGTCAAAAGGTAAGTCGCCTGGGACAACTTTCAAAAATATCTTATTCAGTGGCTGAGAGAAAAATCACTGGTTCGTGTCTGGCCAACACGTAGCTGTTTTTTGGGGAGTTTCTTCACGTTTGTAACGCTTGAATATGGGTAAGTTACTCTAGGGTAGACCACTTGGAAGGCACAATTCTTCGCGTACTAACGAATGTAAAAAAGTATGTAATTTCTAATCATGTTACATTGTAATTACGATAATATTTACTACGAAGCGTCATCGCGAAGCAGCTCCTGGCTAACATGACGACAAGACAAGACCTCTCGGGGGGATATTTCCTCACGGCAGATCGCTCACGTGTCGCGTTGCAGTATACAATTAAACCAATTTGTTCCTTAATCAGTTGTTTCACACGTGAAAAAAAAACAAAGACAATTTCAAGCTAGCAGCTCCTTTCAAGCAATCTACAAGGATACAGTAATTTTTTTCACTTGTCCATCGGTTAGACAAATTGAAATCCCTCCTCAAAACGTATTTCTGCTGAATAATAATGGCTAGAAATAAATAAAGAGTTATCCTAAAAGTTTTTTTAATTTCTATCCAGTCCATATAATTCAAGTTATATGTTTTTCAGTCGTTATATATTCCAATATCCTGCAATATTTCAACATGAAGATCCACTGGATTTGTTAATACTTGCAGAATGTGTAAATAATCTGTGAATAAAGCCAAGAAAATGAAAATTTTTAAAACATTCAGTAACATTCACAGGAGAAAATGGCGATTTATTAAATGAAATTTACAAAAATGTACAAAGCTAAATAAATTTTTTGAGCATAATTAGCATATATTTAATTTAATTATTAATTCTTTGAGTTATTTTCTTATTTTTTAAAATATTTCTTCACGTAAAACTCCACTTATCAGAGTAAAAAAGGAAGAAATGCAACATAATTCATTCATCACATGAAAATACGATAAATACATAAATTTAATTACTATGTTACCTTATTTTACTAAAAAACCTTTCTTAATTTCTGAACAATCAATTTAACAATTCTACATTTTGTTTTTTGCAACTAATACGGGGAACGTCTGAGCATCGTGAGTTTTACTGAAATTTTAACACTTTTAATACATCTCTTCAACTATTGCATGGTGAAGTAACACGTGTGGATGAGTCGCGGTTTACGAGCAGTCATTGTTTAACCGCTTTTCCGTGTTATATATCGAGTCGTAAAAACAACATTTAAGAGTAGACGTGGATGAGTTAGAAAAAACTATGAGACAACTTCTGTTTGTGAGATTTCTCTTCAGGTTACAAGTATACTGTATACTTGTGCATTGATGGAAATACTTGAAATAATTAACAAAAATGTTTATACACGTGTTTATATAAAGTAAGGCAATGCAACACTTGCGCGATTTTCCAGTAGGATCTCCCTCCCAGAATGGAATTGTATTAGAGACTAGCCTCTAAGTTGGTGTTAAATACGTAAAAACCCGAAAAATTTTACGTGACCAGTCTATTTGTAAAATCAAATCCATAGCAAAGTACTACAGTTCATAAGTTTTAATTTATTAGGTTACTGGTAAGCAATTTCGTCCTGAATGCACGTGAGAGTGTACTTTTAGGTAAATCACGTGACATAGATTTATACTAATGTATGCAGATCTAGTCATCACTCCTATACCAGGAAACCTCAAATTTATTATAATACTTTAAAGTTTAAAACGAAGTTTTATTGATCTTTATTAAACTTAATTAAACCAATTTGTTATAGTAAAGCAATTTCAAAAACCTGCTCACCAAGAGATAAGTGGAGAAAACTACTGAACACTGGCAGTTGGACACAAATTTTTAGGCTGGCCGCAAAGATTTGTTTCTAGTTTTCTTCACTGTCTAACACCAAAATAAGAGCACGTTTCCCTTTTCATAAGAAAATGGTACTTATTCATGTATTATTCCTGTCAGGAACCACTACAACTCGGCCGGTTATCCGCGGATCGCGTTGCTTTATTCCATCGATTCAATCGAATCAATTTTAAATATGTCTACTTAACTTCGATTGTTTCCAAGCCATGAATTACATTCATCTTTAAGAGACTTAAATTATCAAAATATAAATTTTATAGATTTCTTCATTAAACTAAATGAATTGTCAACGAATAAACTTCTGTAGCAAGACACGCGTTATTGAAGTTATTGATTTTTAGACATACGTCGTAAAATCGAAATAAAACTTAAAATTCTATTTTCTGTTATACAATGATTACAGTCGTTAAACAGCAATAAATTTGTATTCCTTAAAATGTCCTTCGAGTTAAAGTGTGTTTAATCGGATAACTCTAAAATGCAATTATAGACAATAAATCCAACCAAATATTGTCTATAATGTAAAGTATTTAAACTTTAATAGTTAATTCGATTATTCGAAATCAATGTTACACACGAAAAGTCTTTCGAATTTTATTTCAAATTACAAAGGTATTTGGTATCTCTGCCAGTGGCCGTGATTTTCACTTACTAATAAGATAATACAATATAGTATATACCTGTATTAGCATTCCGATTTTTCCTTAATAGAAATGGTGTATGTTTCACTTTCCAGAAAATTAATTCAATTTAATAAACCGTTCGGTAAATACAAAATTTCATAATTGTCATTTTCAACTTCTTACATTGTTAATTGTTAAATAGGAAAACTACCATTTTGGTAATAGACAATAATAACAATACAAACTTCAGTTATAAATTTGTCTCAATAAAAGTAAACAATATTTCATTTTGATGAAATTTATATTTGTAATCGATTTTCTAATAGTGCGCATTCTCTTTTATTGCTGAAATATCAAGTTTGTGTCGATCGATCACGCCGCAAATCGATACATATTATTGATTGGCATGCCACAATTTGCTGAGAGAAAATGGATGACAACTGCTTGTATTGTCTTGTTCATCAGACATTCGATTTTTCTTTGATTTTTGGCGATATTGGGCTCGAACGATGCGTATGCCATCAGCTTACGAAGAAACAAAAGAAATTCGTATCCATCCATGCCAATTTCATAGAGTTTATGATAATCGGGCACTTTTTAATGCTTATCATTCAGTATTTCGGAACGGAAGATAACGTTATCGCCTGCAGCCCGATTGTCAACACAGGTGGAAAAGAAAACGCTCCTTTTTTGATTGGAGTGTTTGGCTGTATATCATTGAGTTCTTTTCTTATAATTCGAAATGGCAGGAGAGAAAAATTATCTTTTACACTGGAGATGTCCGGATATGAAGGAGAGAAAGAAAAAATCCGGCTCTATCAACGTATCGCGCATTTTTTTATTGCCATCTCTTATGCCTTTGTGCTGTTTTTGGTTACTTACATCAGTTCCGTTGTCATTTTCAAAAAAGTAGAAATGAAATCAAGCAGTTTCAGAGCTTTCGCCTGTTCTGTAGTAATGCAAATCAGTTCAATGTATGAATCTACGTTATGGATGTGGTTCGTATCATCATGCATATTATGTGGCGTAATCTTGATGCGGAGATTCCACACCTTGTCTGTAGAGCTGCAACGAGCAAAAATCCAATGGCCGAAGAAGAATATCAACGATTTGATGTCTAAACACTTGGAGCTTTGCGAATTCATCTGGCATGTCAATGAACACTGGAACAAGTATGTGTTCTTTTTGTATGGAATTGCCCTGTTCCTTCTATCTTTCCTCATCTATGCATCGATTTTCGGAGAATTCACTTTGTATCTTCAGATTATGTTGTGCTTTGCCACAATACTTCTAGTCATTGTAGTGACTGTCTGCGCTTTTGCACTTTCTCGGATCGTGATTGCGGTAATTAAAAGTAGTGATTATATAATAATTTTTGTTTACGTTTTTATTACAATTGTTTTTAAATTTATTTTTCAGCTTTATGATTCCTTTCAAGAGATCAGAAGATTCGGCGCAGCCTCTCATTCATTGGCTGACAAGCTTAAGGTAGAGTATGTTAAATAATTAATATTACTTGAAATACAATAATGTTTAAGAGTTTGATATTGAATAGGTATTGGATTTTATGAAGAAATTTCAAGAAAATAAAATTGGATTCAGCTGTGGTGACTGCTTCATCCTGTCGAAGGAATCGCCTGTTCAGGTATAAAACAGATTTATACAGTAGACAAACAAAAGTACGCAGTATTTTCGATTACGTTGCAAACACCGGGTTATTGCAATTAAAATGTCCTAATTCAACGCGATCTATAGAGATATTTAGCAGCCTATGTTAACATTGCATGACATGCGGGTGACTATTCCGTAAGAAAAATTTAGTTCCGAAATTCTTCACTCGGAGAAGAAAGAATAATATCCAGCAATTAGGACATTGCACAAAACTGACAGCTCGTATGCAAATTTATTAAATAATAAATTTATATTATTATATTTTTTAATGGAATACGCTAAATTATGATGGAAAAGACGAGTTTTATAAAAGTTAAAATGCCAAAAACGAGTAGAACTTTTATTAAGTTTAATCCCACTCGAGCTATGAGTAATCACATCTCTCTATCTTTCTTTTTTCCTATCTCCATCTCTAACCACCGAAATCTAATTGCATCAATGCTCTTATAAATAACTTATCAGGCCAAGATTTGTTTGTTAATTTTTACCCCATCTTGAATATATGAAAGGAAACTGAAGCCGACAACATATAAACATATACATGTATATAATACATGTATATGTTTATATGTTGTTGTATATATGTTTATATGTTGACAGTATATATATATATATATACTGTCTACATACATAGAAATATATTTTTCTTTTTTAATTTTAATTTTTCAGGTGTTATTTATATAACAGGGGAAAGTATTAGCATGTTTTTTTACAAATATATGCGCTATGACATTTTTTGAACCGAAAACAGTAAAAGAAAGGAGGAGAATTATTTGGATCTGTGTGTTTGTGTTGGCATCATTTTCTTTAATATCTGAAAATAGAGTAATGATAAAAAATTTGGCATTGCATCTTGCTTATAAAAAAGTACGAACTGTTGTTAAAGGTCAGGGTATGACAAGTATGTCTTATCTGAAGTGGGGTCACACTTAATGATAACTTATCTCGTTACTAATATATAGAATTTTCTCAAAACTCATCTTTATATAAAGATATAATAATATATAATTTATTTTTCAACAGAATAGTATGATAGATTACCATATGCAATTACTTTAAGTAATTTCTCATTTAAAAAAAATGTGTCTAATCGATTTGGGTTTTCTGCCCGGAAAATTTTTTACAATGGGAGCGAAACCTGGAGATCTTTGCTTTAACCAGTGTCCCTTCTTTGTTTTTAGAGCGGAGACTCTAAAACACTTGAGAGTAACTGATAAACACAAGCATTATGAAATCCAACAACTAGGGCTAATGCTTAACTGAAAGATAATACAGGAAGTTAGAAAGATTTTGCCTTTCCTCATCTTCAATTGTTTGAAATACGTATATTTTACATGAACCCTTTATTGGAGTTTTTATACAGTCATTAAAGCCATAGCATAAATTATTTTAAATAATGTAGTATGACTCGCTGTAGTATGACTAACACTAGATTTTGTTGCCACTATCATTTCTGAAAAATTCAATTGTACACTCTTTCTCTTTCAACTTTCCACAGAATGTATTTATATTTATTATGTCTCGTGGCCTAAGTTCTGAGTGAAGATCTTAGTGAAGTTCTTTCCCAAACTCCGTCTCGTTGAGTTGGTTTCCGTGTATATCACGATTCGATATAGTGATCCAGTTTCGATGGAAAGCACATTTCCACACTCAAATTATACAATATTTACATTTTAATTACAGATTCTATACGTAAAGTGTACAAGTTCGAAACCATAGAATATACATGATAACAAAGCGTGGTGCCTCACGTACTAGATTGGCTTCCGGGAACTTTGGAGAGGCCTCAATCAGCTTGTGGAGTTGGCTCAACCGTTTTCGCACTTACTCGTCCCTGAGATAGTTACCAGAGAAGAATGCTCTCTAATCTCAGCGGGCTTCCCAAGTTCCTGAGATTACCTTGTTACCAGTCTTTTGCTCTTTACCCCTTCCTCTCCCGTTCGCTCCACAATTTAAAGGTTTTTTAGACTGGGAGTTCCGACCAAACTTTTTCTTGCCGAACAGCTTACACTCAGGTCCGTCACTTTTTCACGTTTTTTAGCAGTTTACCATATGGCAAATAGCCTATTGTTTGACCGCACGTAAGTTCAATTGACAAGGTCGTGCTACTTTGTTCCCTCTCTGCTAAACGGAAAATTCTTTACATTCTGTATTGCCCCCGCAGAGACCCTTAACAAAATTTAAAAAACAAAGAAAACATTTTTGTTTATTACGAAAAACCTTTACTTATGAGACGCAAAAAGAATTACTGATCAAAGCAATTGTTGGTAACATAATTGTAACAGGTTGTTTTTGCCTGTCACTTATTAAAGTTATTGAACAAGCTGTTCCTATCTGCTTATTATATATTTCCCGTTTACTATATGTGTATAATGAAATTATAAACGGGTTAATTATATTCGAAATGTAATTTATATGAAAAGTAAACATAAAAGTTGAAGACACGAATAGATGTATGTGTTATCTTACATCTAACAGTCCTGCATAGATGAAATATAATGCTCCTGTCTCTCATTTTTGATTACATTTCATAAACGATCTCAAAATTTTGTTATACGTAATAGGACACATTATTTCGTAGATATGTATTTAAAACGAAAAAAATCCACTCGTGTCTTCAATTATAATAAAAAATAAATACTTCTTTATTAAAAACACACAAGTTATAGTTTTCTAATGGATATTTGTTTCTTCCTATCGTTTTAGGTGTATAACAACTTCTACAGCATATTCAACATACTGCTGCAGATCAGAGAAATACTAATAGGAAATACATCTTCATCTTGTACACCTGCTAATAGCACAAACAGTTCTCGTAATTTTAACATTTCTAACGCGTTAGAATAAAGATCGTCAAAATATCAATCCAATAGAAATAATGAAAATCACTATATTAATATTTCGCTTTCACCTGATTAGATTCTTATCCTAAATTTTGAAAATAGGTTTTTATGTATCAGCATTAGTTCACAAGTGTTAATAAATGAAGTAACATCATTCAATCTACGTTAATAATTGTGTAACCTAGAACAATTTAATTGTAGTAGATTAAAGTTTCGATTAGAAGCCATCATTTTTCCTTATTTTTAATACAAACAACAATGTTGACATAATCATTAAACAGAATGTTTTCGTAAATTTATATTATTTATGTGATGAATCAAAATGTAAATACAGTAGAACCTCGATTATCCGGACTAATTGGGGATGAAGGTAATCCGGATAAGGAAAAATCCGGATAATTGAAATAAATACTTTAATTTGTCTTTTAATGATAATACAACACGTTTTCTTTTCGATGACATGTCGATAATATTAAAAGTGAATACTGTATTTAAACCGTGATCAAATTTTCAAGAAACAAACGTTCGTATTGAATTTGGACTACTACTGACCAACGCTAACAGACTACGTATTGTTTAAAAGGCCCTCTGGTGGCGCAAGAAGACGGATTTTATAAAATAAAAAGCAGTTGAAACTGCATTTTTATGAATAAAAATTTGACAAACTATTTATCGTTTTATGACGAGTAAAATTTTTTCGTCGCATTCGCAGCTTTTAAGTAATGCGTAACCCTTCGGACCGCGAGGCATAGGCGGTGGCCCACGTCGTCCATGCCTTACGCCGCCCTTGGTCATAGAAATGATGTAATTTGAATATAAATTATTTATAAATACGTATGTCAAGTTATATTTTTATTACGACGTAAAATATATTTAAGAGTTTACGACCACTGTGCTGGGTGAGACGTTGTTGAAACAAAAAAAGTTATGCATTTAATCACGTACATAAACAGTGTCGTAATTCGCCAAGTGCAAATTCGTAAAATTTTTGTTTATTTTGAACAATCCGGATAATCGAAAATCCGGATAATGGAGGTCCGGATAATGGAGGTTCTACTGTATTGATATAAATTATTTAAAAAATACGTGGCTTTTATAATTATGGACAGCATTAATTTAGAGTTAATTTAGAAAGATCGGATATTAGAATATAAACGTTGAATAAATTAAAAGTTTCAATTTATTTTTATCAAATTAATAACAAAATCGTGTAAAAAAAACTCTTTTTCTTATAAAGGGTAAACGTCAAGCGCGTAAACCTAGTAATACAGTCGTACAAGCAAACCAATGACAGAGTCCGTTTCAAATGAAACGAGTAATGTGTCCTTATCTGGAAATGTACCATTAATAACATACAATTATCAAGATTTGAATATGTTTCAACAATTGAAATGCCGATTGTAATGAATAAGTACATCGGTGTATGCAAAACGTATTCCATCACAGACAATATTATCCAATAGAAGTTCAAACTAATGAACTAATGAAGAAATTGCAATGACAAAAAGAATTTTTTCATATGTATTACATGCACTTATTTTCAAACGTAGCATAGAGAAAATAAGTGAGGATGAGAAATAACGCAGTAATTTTGAAACGAAAAAACTTCCAAATTAGGCGCAAAAGTGACTGCCACTGGCAACACTGTTAACGAAGCGAGAACATAAGGCAACGGATGGATAAAATGGCGCATCTATCCAACAGTGCACGAAGCAAGAGTGATATTGGGTTATCCAGTTTTTCATAAAATTGATCGAAATCCATTGGCACATGCAAGAACAGTAAGAAGTTGATTAAGATTGCAACAGCTATACTTTTGTGGAAGATTTTCTTTGTCTAGGAGCACAGTGAATGTCATGGAGAATCTTCTACTGAACTGTGGCTAGTTTTGGAATTTTACACTATGTAACTGTGTGGAACTCATGCAGTCATCTTACTGTACCTGCATGTGCCAATAGGGTGTGGATCGGTTATGTCAAATATGAGGCAACACTATACTACTTTTGCTTCGTACAATTTTAGACAGATGTAGTCATTTTATCGATCCGTTCTTACGTTTTCGCTCGTCAGCAGCGTTGCCAGTGACAGTCACTATTGCGTCTGTCTTGGAAGTTTTCCTTGTGTCAGAATTACAACTCTATTGCTCATCCACTCAAGTTTTAATGACACTTATACACATTTTTATGGAAGGTGCCTTGTGGTTTGTATTTTACCATTTCTAGTGTTGAAACAAAAACTAGGATTATTTTGTGGTTTTTTTTCGCCTTAAATTCTATACAATATTTAAATCTAATAATTGAAGTAGCAAGAGCAATTCGCAGGAAAATATTCCAAGTGTTTTTTAATAATTGCTGTGCATGAAAAAAGTGTACTGGACAGTGATACAGAAATGGCAGAAGTTATGATTTGGTGTTAATCATACATAACGCGTTTTTATTGTCATTTAAGCATTTTTACGCTTTCTACTTTTTCTAAAATAGCTAACTTTTCAATCTTACTTTCCGTTTAAATTTTTATAAAACCACAGTTTTCTATTTAAACGTTCAGGAAAATTCAAGTGATGTTAAAATTTGTTTATAAATAAAAATGATATGATAGCGATTATAGGACCACACACACTATTCTTACAGATTTTGCCAAACATTGATATTTTGTAGTTGAAGCGGTTCTAATCAAAAGTTTCCGTAGTAATAAATTCATGAAAGTTTACAGTTTTTCAGTAATCAAGCGTGCATTATGCAAAAGCAGTGAAATTTGCGAACGTGTTGTGAAACCGTAAATCCTTTTATTTCCAAAATATAAAAGTACAAATCACAGTTTGATATTTGGCACATATGCCCGAGCATAAAGGGACCCCCCCTTTATGCTCGGGATCCACTGCACAGTGATTTTTTTTAACTCTTTCCGCCCTGTGGGCACTAAGGGGACCTCTTTTTGCAAGTCCATTATGGGTTCGGCCAGGCCCACAATGGGGCTGCCGGGTGGTGAGGGACGGAGCCTGACATATCCGAACGGACCACCCCCCGAAAAATTCCTGAGGATTTTTCGATCAGTTCGAACCTGGGTCCCCCAGAGCGGTAGGCTTCCACCTTGACCGCTCGGTCATCCGGCCGCAGTGCACAGTGATTGAGAATGGTTGAAAAAAACTCTGTTCGAACATAGCATTACATATTTTGAAACAATACGGATTCAGTTTCACAAGGTATGCAAATTAAGTTAAACAAGTGACATGTTCGATTTTTAGATGCTTTTAGAAAAGTTGAATTATTGGTGTAAAGCGAAACAAATATAAACTGTAAACAAGAAATTTTTCTTAATTCCATATCTTCAATGTTTTATAATTAAAATAATTTTTCATAAATGTAATTGTTTATTTACTGAGAGTGAAATAAGAATATCAAATAAATTATTAATTTTTTTTCTTTATTTGAATAACTACTTCATTACTGTCATTTACCATTTAAAGTTCTGTCTTGAATATTCTTCATTGGCAGAAATATTTTCTATCTAAATTTTTAAAAACAAAGAGTGGTCGATTATTGTTGTACTTGCAGATTGCTCGGGCAAAAGTAACGATAGAGAAGATTATAGTCAATCTTGCCCATTTTCACAGAATGCAAGAATTGGAGCTCGCTGTTTCTAGACTAATTATAGCATATTTTGATGGGTCTAAAAATATATTTGATTTTTCACAAAAACGAAAAAAACTTCATCTGCGTCTTGCATGTCGCTTTCTCTTAAGACTTCCATTGTTGCTTGACACTTCTATTGTTGCTTGACACTTCCATTGTTGCTTGAAACTTCCATTGTTGCTTGACACTTCCATTGTTGATTGTTGCTTGACACTTCCATTGTTGCTTGAAACTTCCATTGTTGCTTGACACTTCCATTGTTGATTAAAGTGTTAAGTCTTAAACCTTTTCCTTTTTTCCCATGGGGAGGAATTTCTAAAAATCCCTTCTTAGTGTGTGTTCTTGTGATGTATCCTAACTGTGTGCCAAATTACAACGTTCAACTTTTAACCTTTTGGGCTCTACGCTGATTATTATTATTATTATCAACTTGTCTCGATTATATATATAGATTTTGTTCATAACAACACGAATTACAACAAAATAGCATTATCAAATAGTGATGATTTGTTGAAATAACTTATTATATAGCAGATAAGTTCCGAATTAATTAAAAAGTTTTAAAAGATTTCGTAAATAATAAGTAATATTTTATTTATTCTTCAGAAAATTGTAAAAAAAAGTATAATTTATTGTATTAGCAGCATAATTATTTGCAACTTGAAAAAATTGTAAACTTATAAATTTCCACTGTTGCTGTCTGCTCATCTTTTCATCAACTCGAGAAGGGAGTTATGTAGATAAAAGACAAAACCAGATATGAAAAAATTAGAGACAGGAGACACCAATTAGGTATATGCGAATTTTTGATACAAATCGGCAGTGAAATTATTTCAATTCGAAATTTTTTTCATGAATGATGACTGACACGACTCTATAGCTAACAGGAAAAGTATGATGTGCATGGGCACGAAGCAACTGAAAAAATTGAGAACGTCGTGACAAGTTATAGCCTGGTAGTTTTACTACGTCACAGTAAATAATCTCTCGTTATAATTAGTTTGGCTTATATAGTTACAGCAACGCAACACGCCAGCGATATGCTGAGGGGAATGCATCCCAAAAACATTTTTATGTAAAGCTGGCCCCTACTTAGGTTTTAATAACGCGAAGCAAGCCTACAAATCTGCACGTGGCCAGCCTGTTGGTTATACCCAAACCCACGACAAACTAATTACCGGTGTTTGGTTGTGTTATTCATTCCTCTAATGGAGGCAGTGAAAAAATTATGATAAAAATCTGAGTGGTAAGCGCTATATGTTACCTATCGCAGTAATTGAGTGAATGTAATATACATTTTTTAAAAAATTATAATTAGTTTACGATTTCGTTAAATTTTTTGCCAATAGATTGCGCTACATGTAAGTCGGCAAATCGAATGTAAATAATAATTCATTGATCTACAAAAATTCTGTAAATATTTTGGAGTGAAATGAACAAAATTATTTACATTAAAAGTATTTAAACATAACTGCACGATTTCGTAGCAATCGTTAAAACAACCTAGGAGTGTAT